TTAAACTCGAATCAGTGAAATGAACGGGCCAATATATTTATATGCTGAAGAAGGGGGCGGGATGGCGGGGTGAGTTTAAAGTGAATTTCATTGGATTGACTCTCTTAAATATAAAAAAAAAATGTATATAATTTTATATAAAATATGGAAATCTTACAAGATTGGGTTGTTCTTTTAGAGTGTAATTTGAGTGTAATTTTTTAGTTGAATTTGAGTTATAAATTGAGTTGAAATTGTAACTTGAATAAAGTTGAATAAAGTTAAAATTTAAAAAAATATGAACTTAAATAAAATTAGAATTTAAATTATCTTTTTTTGAGTTTTTTTGGATAAAAGAACATGATTCATTCTCCCGCATGTGAAACAGTCCGTTTGTTGCATGTGTATATGCGTCAAACAAACCCACTTGACCTTTTTGCTTGAAAAAAAAAAAAAAAACACTTGCGTGACCATCTTCGTAGGGAAACACGTGGGGCATTTGTTTATGTATCACCTTCTCGTCAATTATATATAAAAAATAATAATAATAAAAGATAGGCATAGTGGGTCCCACCAATGTGTTTTTTTGGGGGTGATGATGGATATTTTTTTGTGAGGGTGTGTACGTGGTGGGAGGACGGCTGATTTTCGATTCACGTGGACCTGTCAGCTTCCACGTCACAAGAATAGAGGCCAACAAAGAAGAGGCGTCTTTCTTCCTCTTCCTGAAGCATACGAACTACGAAGCTGGCTGGCGCATTAGCAAGGCATCGAACACGTGCCGGCTACTTTCTTTTGGCCTTTTTCGTAGAAGATAGGATGAGTCAATGCTACATGCTCAATTATATTTAAGATTCATTTAGTTGATTTAATTTTTTAATTTAAATTAAAATGTAATTTTATATAAAATTTTTTTATTATAATAAAAAAAATAAGTATGAATATTTTTAAAATTTTTTTAGTATAATAAAATTTAAATTCTAAACTCAAATTAATAAAATAAATAAGATCTATTATTCGAGTAATATTATTATTAAAAACTTTTCCGGTTCAAAAAAGTAAATAAACAAAAGTAAAACTTTTATTTTTTTTATTTCGCATCCTAATTTTTCTTATTAAATTTTTGTACCCCAACTTTACCAAAAAAAAAAAGATTATAAACAGGAAAAAAGGATATACACATACGCTTTCATTCTAACTGAAGTATTGCTTTGTGCCTCTATTTTATAAAAAAAAAAATTAATAATTGTGCCTCCACTTAATAATAAAATATATAACAATATCTCCGCTTAATAAAATTTTTATTTCTAATTTTTGTTCATTTGCCCACACCAAATTTTTTTTTTTAACATCATCAAATGTGTAAGGAAATCAACAACTCATCTTTTTTTTAACATCATCAAATGGGAACTAACTTCTGTCACTTTTCTTGAGTTATTGATACTATTAGGTCCTGAATTTTGAACATGATGACATTTTAGTCTCTAAACTTTTAAAATTTTCATTTGAGTAATTGATACGGATAGTCTCTAAATTATTTAGTAGGTGATAATTTAGTCCATCTTTTTTAATTTTAGCAAAATACTTACAAATTAAAGGTAAAAGTTCGAGCCGGTTGACCTGAGTCTGGCGGTCTAAATAGAAATTTCAGGCCAACCCGGCTCAGCCTTAAAAAGAATAAGGCTAGTCCAGCCTGACCCTAAAACCCGACGGGCCTAGGGCCAGGTCAGAACTTTATAAGATAAACTTTTAGGCTTAACACCTTGGCCTGAAGGTTTGGGCATGTTGGGCCCGACAGCCTCAGACCGGCCTAAACTTAAAGCTTTACTCTAAACTCTTTAAACAAGTGCAATTAACACCTTTCCATTTTCTCTTTTTATTTTTCACAATTTTGGTCCCTGACAGTAAAATTGACGAACGCTTTTTATATTAAACATATAATCACATTCTTATCTCATAATAACTGAAAATTTTGCATATAATTACTATAAGTGCAACATTTTCTAGTGTTTAACAAGTTTTAAATTTTTGACATATAACGTAATTATTTCTGTATAATCTTAAATTATCACGCGACGAACATGTGGTTTTTTTTGTTAAATTTTTAGAAATCGTCCATTAATTTTACTTCATAGACCAAAAATGTCAAAAATGAAAGTTCACGGTTTATATGCTTTTTGATGTGTCACATTTTTAAAACTTTTTTTTTTGTTTTTACTTTTATCCTAACACTTTATTTAATAATTTTTTTTTTCATTTTGATTTGTCTTGCCTTAAAACTTAATTTTTTTTTATTTTGGTCCGTTTTTGATCTTTTTTTATGCATCCCTAAAACTTAACATTTTTTCCATTTTGGTTCCTTTTTATATTCAGATTTTATATGAGTTTTATTTTAAAAAACTTTATTGTGACATGCATTTCCTTTCTCTACACCTTATTTAATTGCAACTATTATTCTTTAATACATGCATTCTTTCTATTTTGTTTGTGTTTGGTGATTTTAAAATGCCATTTTCTCTTACTTTATTCCTATTAACATAATTTCTTTCATATATGTCTGTGCTTAATTTTTTTCCTTTCTTGTTTTCATTTTATCAAAAAAATCTCTATAATGTAATATTTTTTAATGTACTATTTTTAAATAGTTTTTTTCCGAGTCTTCTAATTGAAATACATTTTTCTAGATGTGTTCCTATTTAATTTTTTTAAGTGTAATCCTTGTTAGTTTAATAGCGATAATTAATATCTTTATCATTAAATGAATTAAAAATATAATAATACGACAATTAAAATTTAACACACAAATTATTCTTCACGTATTATATACGTGGAGTTCAACAAATATATGTTAAAGACGTCGTATTTACTAGAATAATAATTCAAAGGCACCAGAGATTTTTAAAACTTCTTTTTTCTAGAAAAAATGGACTTTCTCTCGTTGTTCTTGTAAAAATGGACTACTGATAATCGTTTATTTTTCAACTGTTAAATATGTATTAAAATTTGTTTATTTTGTATATTTTTTTAAACTGTTATAATTTTGATTAAATTTAACAATTAAAAAATGAGATTATAGAAAAACTCACAAAAAAAGAAGGAAAAGAAAAGAAACAAAAACCAGACACTAGGAGCCCGTTTAGTTGGAAGATTCATTCTCTGATTCGAATCATGGTTCATGGTTCGCTACAGTATTTTCTCTCACAAAAAACACACGTAAATAAAAAATAATTCTAATATCATGGTTCTAATCCATGAACCAAACGGGATCTAAGTCATGCCGACTTTACCACATCTTCTCAACTTCTGAATAGTTGCTGCATGATGTCACTCCTAAGTCCCAACTTCCTTTCTTCTCACACCTGTTCTTACTTTTTATGGTATTTTAATTATCTTCACCATTTTTCTAGCTCAAAATACTCGAGGCTTGTTCTTTTATACCTTTTGAGTTAGCGTGACTTGAGTTTTGATGTTGATATGAATTGATATGTATTTGACTATTATTTACATTGAGAATCTAATTTGAGTTTGTGTTTAGATGTGCACATTTAAGTTATAATTTAAATTAGAAATCTATTTGAGTTTGTATTTGGGTGGGTCAAAACTTGAGTTTGTATTTATATAGTATTTTAATAAAAACTCAATGATGATGGAAAAATTTAATAGGGTATATGGGTGAGGTTTTGTTCGTCTCTTCGTTGTGAACACATAGGAAAAAAATCATCTCAATTAACACGAAAAAGTTATGACATTTTTAAGAATGGAAAAATATTGTTCATTAACTTGAGTTTAAATTTAAGAATTTGAGTTGAATGGGCCTCAAACTCAAGTTAGATTAGATTTTAATCCCAAACTCAAATTCAAACTCAAGTTAAAACTCAAGTTAAAACTCAAGTTAAAACTCTTAATTTTTTTCCTAACGATTAAATTTTTGTTTATGTGGATTAAAGTTCAAATACTTAAAGTGTATGGATCTGAATTTTTATCACTCACTCTTGATTAATACTCTTTTTAGTCAAATGACTATATTATTTAGAAAGGTATTAATCAATAAAAATTTAGACTTTTACATTATAAGAGTAAGTTTAATAATTTTCTCTTAGAATAATAATAAATTGAACAATTTTCTCTAAGAGCTCACCGCTATTCGCCAACAATTTGTGTTTTTCCTAATCCGCTATGCTTAATGCTCTCCTTCTCATCTCATCTCCGGTCTTTATTGTCCCCAATGTACAACTAGCTAGGTTGGCACGGTCGTGATTGGAGGTCATGGGCAGTCGTACTAGCCATCGTTTTGGCCACATGAAGCCATGGCCGACTAAATTTGATCTCATCAATTTTTTTGGTCTTCTAAATCATCGTTGTTTCGAGCATTGTTTAGGGTTAAGAACAATGGAGAGTTTTTTCATGTTAGTTTTGAACAACTGTATTCCAAAAGTAATATTCATTTTTGGCGTAAGATTGAGAATTTTCCAAGAAGACCTAAAACAAGGTATTGTGTTCCCCTAAACCTCACTTAAAATTTCTATCTACATATATACATTTCGAAAAATTAAAAAACACCATTGTATTAGCTTAGCATTCTCTCTCTTTCATTTTTAGGCGCTTGAACTAGCGGTAGTCTACACCATATTTATATTAAAGTTCATAAATCAAATTTTCTCATATTAGCTCAAAAAAAAAAAAAAAAAAAAAACTTCTTATTACTTAATCTATGAACCAAACGCCTCCTAAATGATTATACAAATGTTGGTAAAGAGAATAATATTGATATTGAAATTGGGAGAATTGAGCAGCAAAGATCAGAGAATCCTATACTTCCTAGATGATGTATTAACAGTACATATAACAGGTCATCACAAACTTTACAAAAAAAAAAAAAGAAAAAAAAAGAATGCTGCGATTTCCAACAAAAGGGAAATAATTTAATTTTTACTCCCATTACGTATAATATTTTCGCCCCTGAAATTCTCCTCAAAAAAGGTATATAAAAGAAAAAAAAATTAAAGAGTGAAATTCTTTACTCATGAGATTTCAGTTAATTCAGTGTCAGTACTTAGCAGTCCACTTTCTTCATCTCTCTTCTCATTTGCCTTCTCTTTATCCTCTGTTCTTGAAGCTAGTTCCTCGGCCCGTTTACTCATTTGCTTCCAATCCGTTCTAACCAATGTATAAATCAGCATACCAAAACATGAAACCTGGGCCGAGAGAAGCCCAATCCAAAGGCCCCTAAACCCAACCCCAAGCCCAAAAGCGGCGCCGACCGCGACAGGTAACCCTACCCCGTAAAAGGCACACAAGTTTATTCTAGCCCCCATGGTGGGCCGGGCCGTGCCTGTTAAGACTCCGCAGGCGGCGGTTTGCGGGGTGTTTGCAAGCTCGCAAAGCCCAAGCAACGGTAGTGTTTTGGACACCAATTGCAAGACTTGTGGCTCGTCAGTGTAAAGCTTGCCCCACCATGACCTTGCGGCTATCATAAAAAGAAAGGCCGAAAGACCAAACACAAAAGCGACGGTGAGCCCGAGTATTGCTGTCCATTGGGCTCGGCTCGGTTGCCCTGAGCCCAATGCGTGCCCGACACGCGTCGTCAAGCCCGTGCTTAAGGAAATGGGGAAAACGTACAACATCCCAGTGGTTTGAATTAAAATCCCCATGGAGGCCAAACTTGCTTGAGGATTACTTAACACGCCACACAAAAACATCATGATCTCATACCACCACCATTCCAAGCAAATGGAGGCGCAACTTGGAAGGGCCAGTTTTAACAATGGGCCCCAGCCCGTAAAAGTAGAAAAAATGGTTAGCCCATGCCAGGGATTCAAGGGCTTACTGGAGACCAAGATGTAAATAACCAAGCCCACATTTAGGTTCAAAGTGTTCCAAGCCAAGGCCAATGCCACCCCACCAACACCCAATTTGAGATAAGTGACTAAAAAGTAGTTAATTGGAAGGTGTAGAACGGCTGAACATGTGGCAGCTATTGTTAGAGGAGCAGTTAGGCCTTGTGTTCTTAGGAAGATCCGAAGAGGTTGGAGATGGGCTTGTGCTAGGAGCTCGGGGATCGAGCAAGCCATGTAGATTTTCGCGACACGTGTGATGGCGGGGTCTTGGCCAAGCCAAATGCAAATTGGCTCCATGTTGAGCCAAAGAGCAGAGATTGGGATGGACACAAGAAGGAGGAGGCATAGGGTTTTTTGGAAGGTTTGTGAAAGGACGGACAAACGCTTGGCACCGTAGGCTTGGCAGCATATAGGGTCCATGCCAGTAGAGAGGCCTCGAAGGATTGAGTTGCCGGTGATGTTGCCAAAGCCGAGGGCTAGGGAGCCGCCTGCCAGCTCAGCCTTTCCAAGGCGACCGAGGAAGAGCATGGAGACAACAGAGCGGGAGTAAAGGAGCATGCTCGTCATTAGGATTGGACACGCAATTTTCACTAGTGAACAAAGCTCTTCGTTTACCTACGTACATACATGACACATAATTATTACTTTTGGTTATTGACATATATATAAATTTTGTAAATATGATTATAAATTAATCAGAAAAAATTTCAAGTTTAACCATGGTTTTTTTTAATCCTATTATTTATGTTACTACACAAAATTTTAATGCCACTATAGAAAATAGCCTGCATGATACAAAGTGATAACCTACAGGTTACAAAGGATAACTTGCAGCTTTATAGGTTATGAAAAGATAACCTGCAAGTTATTAGTGGCATAAGATAAATTTAACAACAATGACAGAAGTAAAATAGTGTTACTTTATTAATGACATTTTTTGAAAATTCCCCATGGAAATGCATTACATTACTCGTATAATATTTAGACTAGAGGTGAGGTAGTGGATATAGAATTATTTTGGTCCAAAAATGAAATTTAGTGAATACTATGTACAAATATTTGTCCCCCACAAGAAACTATGAATGCTTTCGACTTTTGGGCATTATCTAAATTGCTCGTGGCCAACAACAATAGTTATTCCCGGATATATTGGCTCTCTAAAGTCAAGCCAATAGATGGAAAGAATCTGAATCTTCCACAAATATTTGTGGATTTTACTAACCCATGTGTCAAGAAATCTAGTTAAAAGAAGAAGAACCATGTGTCAAGAAATCTAGTTACAAGAAGAAGAAGAACTATATAAGTAATTTTATTTTAATGTCAAATTCTCTAACCCTATACAATTATAAACAAGAGAAGTAAAATGATTGTGACACGGAACAAAATTTGTTTATACATGTACTCAATGTTTTATGGGTTTCTTTTATAGAGGTCAAACAGAATATAAGGAAGAGGACATTTGTTTACATTTTTATCCATAATTCTTAAACCATTGACATACGCGCGCACATTTGACCTCTTTTTTTTCTTGTTTTTTTAGAATAAATTAAATTCCAGCAAAAAGATAGAGAATATTGACAATAAAAAACTGCATTTATACGAACATAAACTTGCACGTTTTTCATTGTCTACTCACAAGTTTTTACATGAATTTTCGTACAATTATATACCAAATGTTGCATAATATAGAACTGTCCAAATCCAAAACCCGACAATGAATTTTAAAAATGTTCCTTTCGGCTGAGATTGAGAGAGATGCTATGGGACTATACAAGCTAGGGCTACAAAGAATATGGTTCAGGATAATTCTTACTATATTAAAAATAATCCCAAGCTTAATATTATTGTTAATTGACCTCACCACTTTACTAAGCTAGCAAGAGTGGGAGTGCGACCCACCACCCACACCTGAATATGCAGTTATCGTACTGTATGGGCATCTCGACGGTACGTAGGTATTTATTTATTTATTTTTTTTGGTCCTCATGGAGAATCTCTTTCTCTTATTCGGCAAGAAGAAAAAGAAAGATATTAAGAGGGGAAAAAAAAGCAAGAAAGATAGAAAGGGAGTTATATACTCTCGAAAGAGAAACGCTAGAGACTCAAGGCATGCAAGCTCCAGCTCTAAGCTTACCCTTTTTTTTTTTTTTTGGTCTTGCAAAATTTTAAATACATATAATAATATGTGTGTGTACTAGCATATGTATTCCTTTTACTTGCAAAAACCAATGGCTCTAGGTTGCTAAGAAATTGACCAACCATTTTACTTGGAAATGCTAACTCATTTTCCGGACAAAACTAAAGTAAACTTTTTTTTGCTAAACTGCCTTAATTAATTTGTTGGTCTCTAATTAAGGAACAATAGTTGGTGGAACACTAGCTTGGTGTAAATTATATTGGAAACTAATACAATGAGAAGAGGTTATATATATATATGTGTGTGTGTGTGTGTGTATCAATGTCAACCTTAATCATTGAGTCCAAAATGAGTGATTTTTGGAGATAAATGTGGAAGGATGTCTTCCTATATATTCCTCATTTAATTTGGTGCCATTACCATATGACAGAAAAATAATTTTCTTGTTACTTCGCCCTTTCATTAACCCAATTATGTCATTGCCAACTTTCAAAAAAAAAAAAAAAAAACCGAATATTTGCCACACTGAAAAAGAAAAATATACAAAATAATTTACTCAACGTTTATTTGGAACAAAAACTAGTTTAGAGTACAGGTTTCCTTTTCCCCTTCCACACATGTATATGACTTTTTATGACATGATTTTATTAAACTCATATATATTGTGAGAGAGAGAGAGAGAGAGCGATGGAAAAGGACACAAGAAGAAGAAAAAGAAGACGTTGGAGAGAGAGAGAGAGGGAGAGGAGAGAGGGAGAGGGAGAGAATAATAGTACCTCACTAAGTGGAAGAGTTTCGGAAAGGCCGTTGGTCGAAAAAAGGCGATGTAGAAAGCCACCGCCGCCACCACTGCTGCTGCTGCTGCTGCTGCTACCGTCGCTGCCGCTTTCGACGACTCGAGCTCTCATTATTGTGGCTTCATCATTATGGTTTTCTCCACCAAGACCATCCTTTAAGATGAAAGGGTCACGAGTACTATTTACAATTCCTCGAGATTCAGGACCAGGGCACATGATGATATATAGGGTGTCTATCCGAGTTTTCCAAAAGGGACAGAGAAAAACAAACCTTAAAAAAAAGACCCCCCAAAAAAAAAAAAGTAGTAGTACAACCAACGGACCAGTTTCCTCAGATGGCGTGTTTATTCTCTGGGGTTGGGTCCAGATTAAACTGACTATACAAGGATAATATATTGTTTCTACAAATATCAATAACAGCACACATTTTTTTTGGAAGTCATACCAAAACAACTTTACTATATCTATATATATTTGTTCCATGTCTTTACGTAGCATTTTCCCATTAAAGAGGATGCACAAATTTAAATGTCCGTATATACATGTATAATGCAGGATTTACATTTTAAATCGTGCCCATAATTAGAGCTTACTTTAAGACATATACATACATATACATACACACACACACACATATATACATATATTTGGAAAGTCCAAGCACATTTAATATTTTAAGAACCCGGGAACCGTATAGATCATCACTACCTGATCGGTTGTGCTGTGCTACTGCTCTTCAGCCATGTTATGGGAAGCGTTATTGCAGAGAAGATGGAAACGTAGGGAAATTATCAAACAAGAATGGAACAAATATGTCTAGAGAATTATATATACATAGATTCATTATATATACACACATATGTATGTATGCATATATATGTATAGTTATACGCTTATATATACATCGTATATTTATGAGATTGTTTAAGAAACAGAATCGATATGTGTCCACTTGTTTGCGTGCGATGTTTTAAGAAACAGAATCGATATGTGTCCACTTGTTTTTTGGGGGGGTTTTTTTTTTTTTTTTTTTTTTTTTTTTTTTTTTTTTTTTTTAACTCGATCGAGGAATATTTTTTTTTCTTGCCATATCACGTAATGCCAATCACATGGGCCATGGGAAAGAATTGAGCCACTAGTGGACTTATATATATGTATATTATGGAAGCGTTTCTTTTTTTTATCTGTTTGGGAAAGTCAATAGAATAGGACAATGTTGAAAATTTTTCTGCTTTATCAGGAGATTGGGAACTGTCCAGGTAAATTAGAGGAATTTATTTTCAAAAATTTGTGCATCATTTCTGTGAAAAGTTTTAAATTTAATGTAGATATAAAAGTGATTCGAGTGAATAACTAGACTTTAAATAGAGGATAAATGATGGTTCAATTATAAATTTATACGATTTTAAGTGAATAAATATATCGCTTTGGTAGTGCGCATCAATGAGCAATGAAAGTCCTAAACCATGTATAATTTCTTATTTTCTTTTCTAATTTTTTTATAGTTTTTTTTTTTAATTTTATTTCTATTTTTGTTGTTGTTGCAAATATCACTTGGTGAAAAATATAAATACATATATTAATTTATATATTGTTAATAGACAACGCGATATATTGGATTTTGGATAGGTAAGAATATTTGAAATTAAAGACCTTCACGTACTGTAAAATTACTGTTAGACTAAGCGGTATAACTGGACTACATTATTAACTTTCCTACTTCAGTTTCACTTGATCGACAAGGATCAGCAACGTTTTAACGTTCACTATTAATTACTCTTTAACAGTGTCCGGACAATAACCCAACTTAACCAAATAATTAGTCACTTGTTTATTTGAACTATTTTTACACTATTTGGGTGCTCTATTCTGGTGCCCTATTCTCTCACTTTTTAATTATAAATTAGGAGTCCAAATTATTGAGAACCTGCTGACCTAACTACCGATCAAGGTGAACTATATGTTGTGGACCCCGCTTTTATAGAACATAATTATTGGTGCTCTATAAAGAATTAAGTAAAACGAAAACTATATATATAAAATATATGACATATATTATAGTTGTTCAAAAAACTAATTAGAACCATAATTGGTGGGATATATATATATATATATATATATGTTGGTATCAATTTCGTTACATAGAGATGACCTTTTCTATATAAAAGAATATTTTAAAATAGCAATTAGGTAAGGGGGCATACCGACATTTACTGCACATGTATTTTTACAATCGATCAAATTTATTAACAAAACAAAATGCACAAGAGAAAAGATAAATATTGAGAATCCATCCATAAAGACTAACAAAAAAACAACCCTATACAAAACAGATAACAACTGAAATAAAAAAGTAATAATAATCTACTCTTCAGCAAAAACGTTAAGAGAGGTCTCTCTTTATTAGTAAAATCTAAAAGGAAAAAACAGGCAGGGCATAAAACTGCATGATCTAATTTATTTATACAAGTTAAAACCTTTCGCACTTCGAGCACAAGAGCATGCACATTTTATTTTGAGATAAAAGTATTTGATACCTCTGTTATATTAAGATATCTCAAAAATATCTTGTAAATTTTATAATATTAAAAATTTACCTTTTATGTTTAAAAAATGATTTTCTAGATACTCTAAGATCATTTTATAAGATATAATTTATTTATACAAGTTAAAACCTTCCGCACTTCGAGCACAAGAGCATGCACATTTTATTTTGAGATAAAAGTATTTGATACCCTATGTTATATCAAAATATCTCAAAAATACATTGTAAATTTTATAATATTAAAAATTTATCTTTTATGTTTAAAAAAGATTTTCTAGATACTCTAAGATCATTTTTTAAGATATAAAATGTCTAAATTACCTTTCTAATTAATTAGTTAAAAACAAAACTTTTGCTCAAAATTACGTTTTATAAAATATTTTAAAAATATTCTCAACAATAAAATGTCTAGTTGTAAAATGTTTTGTAAAACTTAATTCTGGGAAAAAATTTTAGTTTCTAATTAATTAATTAATTAGAAGAATAATTTGAACATTTTATGTTTAAAAAATGACTTTAAGGTACCTAGAAAATGTGTTTTAAAACTTAAAAGTACTTATTTAATATATCAAAAATATATGGTGTCGTCGAAATATTTTGATATAATAGAAGATATAACCAGAATGATTTTATTCCTTTTATTTTTAAATAAGTGGTCGCAGTCTAATTTAAAAGTTTTTAAAGATCTCTGAATATATTGCAAGACCTCGAGACAAGCTCTTTGCAAAAACAACTTAGAGAAAAATTTTAGTAGTAAAATATCTTTTCAATAATTTTTATTTGTAAAATGACTATAAAATGATTAGGAACGACTACTATTTTACAAAGCACAACCGGGTGGTCATTCTTTATAAAAATGAAAAAAATCATTTTATCAATTTCACTTTATTAGATAGTCACGCTAGTAAATTTCTCTCTCGAGACAACTAATTCCATTCCTTTTTGAGCAATTGCGTAATTGTCTATTTTTATCAAACTACTAGATTTAGGCGCTTCACTTTTTGCTCGATTCCTTATGCTTAGATTAGATTCTTCTAATCAAACTTTCTTTTATCTTTTACATATGAAAGATTAGTCTATGACTTTATAGGAAATTTCTTTTGAGGGATTTAACTGTTTCTCTTGAAAATCAATGCAAAAAGGGAT